ATGTACTATGCTACAGTTCTTTCTTTATTCAGCAAGAATCGTTTAATTATGTTTAGCAAAACCAGTAATCTTTGTCTTTTCACCTCTTCCTGACATTAATAATGACTAGATAAAACATACCAAAATAGATATCAAGAAATGCATGGGGACAATGATCTGTAATGTTAGTTAGAACAGCTGTTAAGATTCTAGGTAGTTGAAGTTTCTCTTACAGCTGACTTTAAAATTAAAACTATTCTCACTAGCCAAGAATTTTTTCTCTATCTAAGGATAGAAAATTACTGCTTTGGAATCTAAAGGTTCTTAGTCCTAATTGCACTCCTGCAAGTGAGGAAATTAATGAGTAATTGAGCTTTGTTATGGTTGGGCTTTTTTCCTGTCAGGTGCCATGCTTTTCTAGAGAAAAAGGGTGGGAGGCTTAGAAGTTTCTTTGAAAGTTGACAATGATTTTACAGGATCCCAGTTATTTAGATTTTCCACTGCACTGATCCATCATGAATGCATGGCTAAGTAGACTTTTTTTTTTAATTGTTCAAATTAATCACATTTATTATTAGATTTTGGCGTTTTTTTCTGCTCCCCTTCATCCCCAAAAGAACACAGGAAAGGCTTTTGTCTTTACAATTATTTCATCCAATGTCTCTTGGTTACGCTTCCCTATATTACTGCCCAAATCCAGATGGTATATGCTTTTGGCCATTTGTTTCACGTACAGAAACTTTGTTTTCCACCTGTTCTTTTCTTCTGTATCTTTGATATTTCTCAGTATGACACAATTCTGCTCCTGTGTTTACTGGTAACATTCTTACACGTTCATGCTTTGCTCTGGGTTTCTGCCTGGCTACAAATCTAGGCTACTATGACAGAAAATCTAATTTAGTTTCTCAGATTCGGAGAACTTCCCTTCTTTAATTGTCAATGATGCTTGACACTACTCCCATTGACTTGTAAACCAAAACCTTTCTCGTGGTTACTTAAGAAGGCTCTGGGTTTTGATGTCTTTACACTTGAGTTTCACTGCTCTCTTCATCAGCAAGTAATTTAGACATGGGGTAAGCCGCAGCACTCAGAGAATTCACTCTGAGAATGAACCATTTCCTCTGAACCAAAACACCAGAGTGACCACAGGTTATAGCGTCTTTATTTTTTAAAAGCTTTGTAAGGTTCTTGGGAAGATTATCCCCATTTTATGACGACAGAGAAAGTGAATTTGCATGCACTGGATCAATTTGCCAAAGCAAGTTTTGGCAGAACTGGGAGCTGAAACACTTAAACCCCTAAACTACGTTGCCCTTGAATCACGTTGCACAGTACCTGTGGAGCATATGGCCTTCTTTCTGCGTTAGACCCATACACGTCTTTTGTTGTGTAACTCCAACTTTGCTGCAAGCAAGCCAAGCAGAACAGAGGGACGACGCAGAATGTTTCTATGCAAGAATACGTGGTTTAAAAAGAAAAAAAAAAGGAAGGAAGAAAGAAAAAAGAAATACTGTGTTGAAGAGAGTACTATTTAAGAAGAAGCAGTGGGAATAAATGGATGAAAGCGAACATTTGCTATGGCCTTGAAAGGCTAGTTAAAGAAAATACAACACTTTCAGCACAGGTCACCTCCTCCCCTGCACCCACTGTTTCAAAACCTACTTTGTAAAACCTAAATTATGTATTTTCTTCCCCACGTAAGACATTTTCCCCATCCTTCTGCACCCACTATGTCTGTTAATTTCATGAGAACCTTACTGAATTTTGATGAGAGCATCTGAGAGAACAAGACTGTCTCTCAGTATCTTGTATGTGGTTTATCGCATTTAGCCCACTGTAGTTCACCAAGTCATACTCAAATTTTTTGTTTTCTCTGTCTTTCTGCACATCCTAATCCACACTGGATTAGTGCTATGAAGGTTTACAAGCATAGAGAGATCTCTTAAAATAGTTTAAAAAATCATCAGCTGACATTATTGCAGTTGGGTTTTTTTCAGATTTATGAGGGAACTGCTCAGATTCAAAGGATGATCATAGCTCGTGAACACGTTGGCAAATATAAGGCTTAAAGAAATGCATCAAGCACGTCTGGCACTGCTGCAGTGTTCTGTGTTCTTGTGGAAGAGGGTTTTAGTGCATTTCTCAATACAATTAGAAGGGCGTGGAAAAACCCCTTTTCCTTCAAAATCTTTTTATTTTGTACATGATTAAGCACTAGTTCTGTACTCCCCATCCATTCATTCTGACTAACAAAGTTGGTGTTTTCTAAACGTTCCTGAATTCCAAAGCGATTGGTTGTTGTCTTTCCCCACTCTCTCTCTCTCACTCATATCATTGGCTTTTGGCGGGAAAAGAGGTAAAAACCTTCCCTGCCAAATTTGTGTGATCAAAAAAGTGACCGAAATTCTGATTTTTTAACTTTTATTTGGGGGGGGGAGTCAGGTCTGTGAAGGCATTCAGCATGTAACAAGGAATTGGATTTTTGGTGTTTCTGTGTTGTTTGTTAACGATACAGATTTGCTCCCACTGTTTTATCACCAGGGTTTGTGTGGATATCAAATCAGTAAATCCCAGGGAAATTTAAAAAAGCTATTCTGCTTCCTCAGGAATACCATGTTGCAGCACACAGTCTCTAGGTCACCACTTGCTAAAATAAATACGCCAACAGTGTGGTTTTGTGGCCTTTAGAAACTTGCCTCTTTTAAAAAAAATTGAAAGGGAATGCATACTGGCTTCTGGACCTTTCAAAAACATACATTCTCATCAATTAAAACGCAGGTTGGTGTTAGTTTTCTCAAACGGTGGCTTGATTACTACTTGCACATTATCTATATTTTACATGCCTTCATGAGTCAGTATGAACAAAAACTAGTTTTCGTTTTCATAGGGCTTCTGTTCAGTGACTTAACCATCTTATTCAGCTGAACCTAGCAAAGACAGGAATTGCCATTCAGTGCGTTTATCTCTGTGCCTCACGGAAACCTGTAACATTTATGAAGAAAAGACTTGTTTTCTTGTGCCTTAAGCAAGACTTCTTTACAGACAAACGTTAAGTACAGCTTTTGAGAAATACAGGTACATGGTTTTATCATAGTGGGGAAAAAAGAACTATGATTGTTCAATTTTAAACATGTTTTCATTTTAACTGATCCCACGCAAAAGAACCTGTAGGAAACTGCCTTATTTTCAGTTCTAACAATGCTGTTCTAAACTTGTCTGTTATCCCAAACGCCCAAACAAAGTAAAGGGCAGAAATGAGAACCTCACAACATAACGGTTTTTCACTGTAATATTAGATTATCAAAACGTTATTTCTGACAGTCGTCGCTGCATTCTGATTAAAAAACAATGTCTAAGCAGAGAGGCGTGGTTGCTTTTATTCCCTTTGCTCGTCACATAATTTAAATTGTATTTCAGGTAAGTTGCGCAGTGTCTGAAGGATGTTATGGCTGTACTGCGGTTCTCACTACGCTACAGCCCCCAGCAGCTGAACAGCCCTTCCAGCTCAGCAATACCAAGGCCTGCGTTGCTGCTGTCTGCATGTGTGTCGGGTTTAAGGATTTAGATACTACCCAGCAGTAATGGAGTATCAGCTTCAGAGAGCGTGGCCTCTTTCACTACTACGCTTCTTAAGCAAGTAAATGTTCCGTTAGGATGATTCAAGTGAAAGCGTGTAGCTTTTCCTCAAGAATGACTTACAGCATCGCATTCATTCCAAATCCAGTACATTTAAACCTATTCTTGCTTTCCATCAGTATACATACTTAACGACGTTTCCCGAGAAGGAGGAATTTGTGTGAGGTGTTTTTTTACCCTGGACAGGCCCTTTTTTCAGCGCTGGCAGAAGGCACCTTCCCCAGCTTTCTTGGGGAAATCGCTCAGCGCTGGCGAGGCTGCACCTGGAGTGCCGTGTCCAGTGCTGGGATCCCCAGTAGGAGAGAGGCATGGATGTAGCAGAGAGAGTCCGGGGATGGGCCACCGTGACGACGAGGGAGGGCCTGGAGTCTGAAGAAAGGCTGAGAGAACCGGGGCTGTTTAGCCTGGAGAAGAGAAGGCTCAGGCAGACCTCATCTATGTGCACGAACACCTCATGGGATGGAAGTGGAGGCAGCCAGGCGCTCCTCGGTGGCACCCACTAACGGGGCAAGAGGCAAGGTGCGCAAACTAAAAGACAGGACGCCCCATCGCAACAGAAACAGCCATCTGTCTTGTCCCGTAAGGGCGGGTCAAACGCTGGCACAAAGAGCGGCCCCGACAGGTTGTGGAGTCTCCATTCTCGGACATACTCCAAACCCAACTGGACATGGGCCAGGGCAACCGGCTCTGCGCGACCGGGGGGGCGGACTAGGTGGCCCCCAGAGGCCCCTGCCCGCCTGAGCCCTTCGTGAATTCGTTTGCAGCTGCTCGGCGGGTCGCCCTGGCTTCCCCGCGGTCCCTGTCACCCACCCCCCCACGCAGAAACCCTGTCACCGGCTGCGCAGTTTTGTGCTGCTGCTTAACGAAGCGCCTCGCGGCTGTAAACCGCCATCTCATTTACCCGCCGGCAGACCCACTCTGCGACATGCGGGACAAGCATATAAAAAAGCGTTTAAAACACCACCCCACCCCCCAAAACAAAAAAC